CCTAATAGTTGGCTTGTTTGGTCACCAAAGAGAAAATGCGGTGTCTCTCACCATTCTCTCTGATCTAGAGACCTAATATCCTAACTAAGTAAGGACTTACAGAGGCACGAGCACTCTGCATCCCAAGAGGTGGGGACAGAAAGCTTCACAAGTGCCTGAAGTAAAAAGCTTCCTATCTCACAATATTCCTGCCCTTCCTCAGAAACGTTCCAAGGGTCCGGTCTCAAGATGAAAGGGAGCCATCATTAGAAGTGATGATCTACCGAAGTAATGAAGCCTTTAGGACAACCCCATCCTGCTTCACAGCACTGTTTACCTTAGTCCCCACCCCTCCCCCACCCCACCCAGAAGGTTTCCTCTCATTGCTCAGACTCAGCTGAACAGTTCTCAAAAGCTTAGGCAGGTATGCAAGGGTGACAGCCCTGGAGACCTAATGAGGCTCACCTACAAGAAGAAATGTGGTTGAGTCATTTGGCCTGAGGTAGCTGAAAGAAATGCTCCAGAAAGGAGTGCTAGGACCATTACTGGCCTGTGCAGAAATAGCAATGTTGGCATACTTCTACTTTATTCTTTTGCTTAATATAAAAAAAGAGAAATGAAAGCTTTGCATTTTTCTCTAAACTAAAAATAAAAATCAGTAGGGTTTTACTATTGTTTTTCTTGTCAGCTCAGAATCAGCAGAATCAGAATCTCCACATGTCAAACATATGGGTGAGAGTATTACAGATACAGACTTCAACTCTCTTCTTAGGACATGCTTGTGTTTACATTGATTGACCCAGGATGACAGCTAATGACAGCTGATGGGATTGATCATAATTGTAATCAATTCTTTGTTTCTTACCTAAAGTAAGTAAATTGTAATCAATTCTTTGTTTAATAACTTGTAAAAATTATTTATTTCAAGTCTGCTTACCTTACTTATTGTTAAGCTCCATGAGTATTGGGCCTCTATTTGATTCACTTCTATATCCCCAATATGGTTCTCATTACATAGTAAAAACTCAGTGGGTATTTGGGAAATGTTTATAGGCCAAAAGGGCTCCCCTTATAGAGAAATGGAAAGGAAGATCCAATGAGTCATTCTGCAGTTACGGACCTCATCATCAAATGAATATGAAACACCATCGGCCCCCAGAATTATTGAGCTGGGAAACTGTTGACTTTGAAAGTTGAGAGTCATAGAGTGGCTTGATCGGTATCCCACACAAAATTAAGGCGCCAAATCCAATGTCCAGCATTAACTTAGAACATAAGTGGCTAAAACTTTGCTCATATCTTTAATTCAAATCCAAAGTTTACCAAGAAAGTGATAAAATCTATATCCATCTGAGTTTACAGGAAGTTCTTTTCCCATACTTGCTAGCCCTCCCCTTAAAATAGATTACCACAACTTCTAATTCAGAGGTTTATAGACAATATGAACATACTAATTTTTCATAGCCTTATTCATTAAAATTGTGTGTTTTCACTGTATACTTCTTTCAACTTTCCTGTGTGTTTAAAAATTTTCATGATAATATTTTGAGAAAAATTATCTAAGTTATAAAGGAAGAGTGGACATGGGTCACTTACTGTCACCGTTTGAGTAGACAGCAGGTACTTAAAATGTTTATATAGTAATGAAATGACTGTCTATGCATATGTATGTACTTTTGCTTTAACATTTATAAGCATGCTTTACCACTTAATAGCTCTGTGAACCTCAGGCAAATAATTTCTCTGAACAACTTCTGTAACATAAGAATATGTCACATGCCCGAAGGCAGTGGGTTGGATCAGATGATTTCTTGGTATCATTTTCTGATGAATGCTAATAGACGCAGCTGGAGTATAAAACTTAAGCTGTTCACAGATATACATGTGTGTGCTGAACCAAGATTGCTACTTCTGGAGTAAAAAATTATCAAAATCAGCAGTTTCCTATGATTCAACCTAATACATACATATATAATATAATACTGGGCTGGTCAAAAAGTTCATTTGGGTTTTTCTGTAAGATGTTACAGAAAAACCCAAACGAACTTTTTGGCCAACCCAATATCTACCAGATAGTCTATTTACCCAATATATACTTACTTGGCACCCACTTTGTGCCAGGCATTGCCAGTTTTTAAGATACAAAGAGGAACAGTTCCTGCACTAAAGGAGCATATAGTGCAGTCTCTTTCTCCCAAGGTGTCTGCTCTAACAGCAATGTTTGTCACGTGCCATGGAAACAGAGAGACTAGACCACTAACTGTAAGTGATTAAAGGGGACTTCACTGCAGATATGATAGGAGGCTCCCAGAAGAAGAAAAGGATGTTAATGGCATTAAGACACCACTAAGAGATAGTGTGAGGGTATGAAAGGATCTGTCCTGTCAGGGAACGGTGAGAAGCTCACTATAATAGAAGCACAGCATACAGGAGAGAGGTATTAAGGAACAGAGGCGGGGGGTATAAGTTGGGTCATATTGCAAAGACCATGCTGAGTTTAAGATTTTACCTAATTTATAATGTCACTATCAGCTTTGATTTTGAAAAAGATTGATTTTAGATAGGTAACTCTGGTGAAAATGTGGAAGACAGACTAAAACTGGGAGAAGCAGGTCTCCAGGTAACCAGATAGGAAATTATTGCAGTAGTTCAAATGAATGGCAGTAGGAGGATGTGAGTGAGGCTGGATTCATAGAGATTTCTGGCAAAAGAACTAGCAGGATTTGTTAACAATACCAAATATATCTTCCATTAAATTTGGGAACTTTTAGTTCATTATTCCCTTGAAACTCTTTTCTGCATTGTTTTCCATCTCCTTTTCAGACTCCACTTATATCCACATTAGACCTTCTGATACTATCCTACAAGTGACCGAGTCTCTGTTCATTAAATGTGGGAAACTCACTTAATGCTTTTCTCCTCTTTGAAGTATCAATGCTTCTTCAGTTTCTGCCCACCTTTGTTTGTCCTCCAATAGCTTCAGATACTTGTGATATATATATACATATACACACACACACATATATACATATAATTACACACACAATATGTGTGTATGCATCTATGTGTGTGGGTATAAAATTATGTGTATATTGGGAATTTATGTATATACTGTATATGTGTGTAATTGTTCTCATTGGGATGGTTGATCTGATCTGAGCTATTCTGCCATTACTAGAAGAAGAACCCATACCTAACACAAGATTAAATGTATTCCCTGTTTAGAAAGTAATTAGAAAAAAATCAATAAATAATAAGGTCCTTAAATGCAAAATGAAACATATAAGAAAAAACAAATAACTCAGTAGAAAAATGAGCAAAAGAATGAATAAATATTTCATAGAGGGGAAAACACAAATGGTCGATAAACATATAAAAATTATCAACTCTAGGAAGAGTCAAGTAACTTCAAATTAAGATAACAAAATTATACCTATTTTAACAAAAATTAAGACAAATAACAAAATCAAGAGATGGATCAATGGAAATTGATCTGCTTGTAGGAATATAAAATTGTACTTTGGAAAAGAACTTGATATTATCTTGAGAAGTTGATCATTTGCTATGACTCAGCAATTCTGTTCCAAAATATAAACAACCTAGAAAATCTCTTTATTTGTGCCTCGGGAGAAATGTATTGGAATGTTTAGAGAAGTGTGTTTCATAATAACTGAAAAAACTGGAAAATCAACTCTCCGTTTCTAAAATGACAAATTTTGATACAATCACAAAGTTAATATCACACAGCAATGAAAACGAAACACCTACTACTACAGACACTAATATGTATTATCGTAGAAACAACATCAAGTAGAAAAAGACTAGACAGGTAAATATGAAACCATTTTTATAAAGCTTAAAAAACAAGGAAATAAATTACATCTCATTTCAATTCATATGGATATGCGGTAAAACTATTTTTTAAGAGAATGATTAATGAAAAATTCAGCATAGAGTTTACCTCTGGGAAGGAAATAGGAGATGGATAAGTAGAGAATAAAAAGATATTGGTATTTTTCTAATTCTCATGGAGGTGATGGGTTCACAGGCATTCATTTTAAAATGTGCTTCACAAAGTATTTATATTTACATATAATTTTTTAACATATAAATTAAAAGGTAGAAGAGGCAGAAAATCGGGTGAGCTTGGAAAAAAGATGAATAATATAATAGCAGGGAGAATCTCTTGCTGCTGTTTTCAACTGAGTAAATACTACTTGGCTAAATATATATTTTTGTAAATCCCAATTTGAATGACATTTAAATAATTAGGTCATCAGATGCCTTTTAGAATTAGCCTATCTTTCGGAGTTATGAGGCTTTCAAAAGTCATATTTCTGTTAAAAATGATATTCTGAGTATTTATAAACTAGTAATTTGTACAAAACATTTTTTGATAAAATAATTTTGACTTCAATTTTATGTACACTTGTACATAGTACTAGCACTTGTAAATTAGTACTTAAGCTTATTATTTAAATGAGCCCTCCCCTTTGGTTTACAAGTAGTTTGATAGTATATACCAAATAACTACTGAGAAAGAAAATATTAAAATCTATTATTTCCAGATAAAGTTTCTGAGTCAAATCCTCTCTCTCAATATCTCATCTAAACTGATACGTGCTTTTTTTCTTTTTCAAAATGTGGGTCATTTTGAAAGAAATGCTTTCAGAAGAAAAACACGTATGATTAATGCTAACTTGAAAAGACACCCTAAAATTCTGTGGTCTTCTGAACATCACATGTTGAATAAAGCTATTTGGGATCATATGATCATGTTTTAGATTTCCCAAAAAGGCCACAGAGCCTATTTCTAGTAATGTTATAGAGTTCATCTTGAAAGCAGCTGGGAATGTTTAGGGAAATAGTCACAATTTGGAATGTAATTAGATTCTTAGTCATTAGGGTAAAGGACATACCAGACAACAATCAATATGCCAGGTTTTCTTAGACCAAAAACAGAAAGTGAATTATAAATTCCAGAGGGGGGAAAAAATTCCTTATTTGTTTCTTCTACTTACCAAGTATGTTTTAAGTTCCACTGAGTCAGTTTCTCCAATCTGATGATCCTTGAACACTGAAAATTAAAAGTATAAGTGATTAAGAGCAGGGACAATGCCCATTTGGAGTAAAGTTGAGATCTTTCCTATTCACCCAGGTGGGAGTTTGGTAGAAATGCAAAACCTTGGCCCAGCCAGACTCAGAGTCAGAATCTTCATCACCACAAGACCCCTGTGCAATTTATGTGCACATTATATTGAGGGACTCACTGGTGTAGATTAAGTTTATTTCAAATAAAGTTACATAAAAACCAGTTGCTTTCCTTCAGGTCATTAAATTCCACAGTAATACATATGAGTAACGTGAGAAAGATGTTGCTGTTGTTATTTTCTTTTACTCTCTCTTCTACTAAAAAAAATATCTATATTATATCTCTTTTTCTGGATATTTGTTTTTGTGAACTGGAAAAAAACAGAAAAGGAGGAATTCCCTTTAGGATGAAGGACACATACAAGATCTTCAAGGGCAAATACCAAGCTGGAATTATTGTTCTCTTAAAAATCCTTTCCTGTTGTTGTTGTTTTTTAATTACAAGATAAAAGAAAACAGCCATCCCACTTGATATTAACATTTTAATGTATGAAGGTTGAGTTAAGAAGAACTGGAAGTATCCAGTTAAGATTCTGCCATTAGAGTTTACGGGTAACACAAAACTAAGTTTTTAAAATACTTAGAAATGAGGCTTTTCCTCATTTCCCTGTATAATCCATCAGCGAGTGCTGTCAGTTCATGCTCCCCTGTATATTTCCGGGTGTCCTCCATTTCCTCTGAAACCCTTTTCATCCAAAATCACCATCATCTCTCTCCTGGGCCAGAGCATTAACCACCTAACTGGTCCTCCTAACTGGTCTCCCTACATTCCCGCTTGCCTCTCTCCAATCTTCTCAGATGGCAATCAGAGGGACCTTTGTAAACATAAATCAGACCATCACCTTCATGACTCAAGGCACTTCATGACACTGGCTCCTGCACGATGGCCCGATGGGCCCTACGTGGAAAGGCCCCTGCTTCTTTCACCACAGGGTATCTCCCTGCTCTTCCCAGGGTACACCTCCCACCAGCCTCAAGCCCTTATTTCTGGCCCTTTTCTGCCTCTGGGTCTTTGTACCTGTAACTCTCACCTCACCCCAACACATATACTCTGGCTTTTTTCACATTCTCATCCTTCAGCTCAAAGTTTCCCTCTGCAGACACGCTTTCCTGGCCTGGCCACATTATTTGAATAGCACCTGACCCCTTATACCCCAGTCACTTTATCTCATCACTCTGTCTTTTCTAGTATCCCATGGTTCAACCTATAATAATCTTGCTGCTTGGGTCTCCTGTTTGTTTGTTTTTATATATATATAAATGTATTTATTTGTTTGTTTTTGGCTGCGTTGGGTCTTCGTTGTTGTGTGCGGGCTTTCTCTAGTTGTGGTGATCGGGGGTTACTCTTCTTTGCGGTGCGTGGGCTTCTCACTGCAGTAGCTTCTCTTGTAGCGGAGCACAGGCTCTAGGTGCACGGGCTTCAGTAGTTGTGGCGCATGGGCTTAGTTGCTCCGTGGCACGTGGGATCTTCCCCGACCAGGGCTCGAACTGTGTCCCTGCATTGGCAGGCGGATTCTTAACCACTGTGCCATCAGGGAAGCCTGGGTCTCCTGTTAATTGCCTGTCTCCCCAACTGGACTTCGTGGTCTGTGAAAATAGAGACTGGTCTATCTTTTTCACTGCTCTGTCCCTAGCACCTAGCACAACATCTTGCATAGAGAGGTGCCCAATAAACATTCGATGAATGAAACGAAATGAATTAACATTACCAAGATATGGCTCTTAGATGGTTATTAAATATGTTTGTCGTTAATTGTTTCTTAGTAACTTTTTTCAAATAGAAAAAAACTTAAAACATCCTAATGATATCATTGAACTATAAATCGTTAATCACCTTCATGTTTCTCATTAATATTATAATCTCTAGATATCATGGCCACTAAACTTAGGAGAATATATTTGTCAACCAAATCTTCTAGCCCCAAATCACCTTTGATAGTGCCCACAGGTATTTTCCTAAGAACCACATCTAATGTCACACCTATGGTAGACACAGATAGCTGTCTACACAATCTGTTCTCCCTTCTCCCTTCCTAATAGAACCTCTATTGTTTTTGGAACAGAAATATGCCCAGATAGCATTTCTCAGCCTTCCTTGAGGTAAGGTGAGTGCCATGAAACACATTTCTGGCCAGAGAGACAGAAACTTTAAATCTTTTTTTTTTAATAATTTTTACTGGTTTATCTAGGATATTCTTTTTTTTTTAATTTATTTGGTTGCACCAGGTCTTAGTTGTGACAGGCAGGCTCCTTGGTTGCAGCTCACGGGCTCCTTAGCTGCGGCATGCATGTGGGATCTAGTTCCCTGGTCAGGGATTGAACCTGGGCCCCCTGCATTGGGAGCACGGAGTCTGAACCACTGCACCACCAGGGAAGTCCCCAGAAAGTTTAAATCTTTAGAGAACGTTTTGCATTCTTCATGAGGACTCCACTAATTGCTGTGGGATGCTTCCACCAATTTCCAGTCTGAGACTTGAACGTGGTGGCTTGAGCTGCAGCAGCCAACCATGAGGAGAAGATGGGAGAATCACAAAGACCTTGCCCCTGACACCCTCGAGACATTGAACCAAAACCAGCAACTACTAGCCTTCAAATTTCTTGGTGAAAAACAAACCTGAGTTTGTTTAAGCCACTGTTTTACCAGGTTTTCTGTATTACTTGTTTTTGACATTTGAAATTATGCTGATTGGCTGGCATAGGTTTTTTTAATTTTTATTTTTATTGAAGTATAGTTGATTAACAATGATGTGTTAGTTACAGGTGTACACTCTATTACTTTAAAACCTGCAGTGTCTCTACTGACTATATGATAAAAATCCAGACTTCTTCCTGTAGAACCCAGGGACTTTCACAGTCTAACCCAAGCCACCTTCTACCATCACTTCTCATACCTCAGCCATGCGTTATTACAGCCCCTCAACAATCTGCTCTCACCAATGCTTTCTACACATCAAATGACTCTGAACTTCTCCCCTTTTCCTACTACATCACACATCTCCAAACCTCTGTGTCTACTACTCCTCTTACTACCTCCTGCTGGAACCTCCAGTTCCAGCATCCTGCCCTCCATAAGCCTTCCATGTCTCTCTGAGTCAGTTTCCTTGCCCATTCTTCTCTGCCTCCCAATGTCATTACAGTACTTATGACATTGCATTATAATTGGCCCATTATGCATCTGTTCCCTCTAGTCTGTGAGACATAGGCCTGGTATGTTAGTCATCTTAGCATCTTAAACACCAAACATTCCACTGGTTACCATAACCCCTAAAAATCATTCATTAAATAAATGAATGAATATCTCTCAGCTCACAGTGACTGTTGTGTTAAAATCATTATATCTCACTGTGTCTCTCCATGAATTATTCCCTTTTTTTGAGCACCTACTATGTGCCAGACTCTATACTAAGCATTAGGGATAAAGCACTGAACAAAAGAGACAAAATTTTGTCCCTGTATAGATTTTCCTCTATTGAAAAAATTTATGGAAATGAAGTGAAAATCAATTAAAGGATATTACAATAAACCAAACCTGAGCAGTAATAAGTAATGAAGGCAGGGTTGGTAAGGTGACACACCAAGGTGCCAGTGTAGTGCAAAAAATATCATTCAGAAAATAAAAAATAATTCTAAGCCTACCTCATTAGAATGTGAAGAAGACAGTAATCAATAATCTAATTTCCACTGTTTATGCTAGATACAGTTACTACCAAGGTGTAAAAAAAGTAAAATGAAATAAATGTTTCTATGTATACATTCAGATATATGTGCAATAAGGCTTATTACATTATTGTTTACAATAGTCAAGCTTTGGAAACAATCTAAATATTCCTCAGTAGGGGATTCATTAAATAAAATATGGTGATTTCATACTGTGGAATGTTATGCAGCCATTAAAAGAATAAGAAAGTCTTATAGCTACTGATATAGAAAAAAAACCTCTAAGCTATGTTACTAAAAGATAAGGCAATCCACAGAATAACATAGATAACATTTATTTCTTAAAGGTATGTATATGTATGCAACGTATTTACTAAAGTTATAGAAATAGAACTGCAGAAAGAAGGAAAAACAGAAGGATGGAAGGAAGGAAGGAAGGAAAGAAGGAAGAAAAACTGACACAAGAAAAATGAAAAGTCTCAATAGTACTTGTATCTGTAAAAGAAATCAATTTCTCTCCCAAGAAGAAAATGTAATTTTTCTCCCAGGAAGAAAACTTTAGGCCCAGCTTACATCAGTGATTCCTTGAAACCTTTAAGGAAGAAATAACACCAATCTTACACAAAGTCTTCTAGAAAAAAGAAATAAGGAAATATTTCCAATCTCATTTTGGGAGGGCAGCAGGTTGATATCAAATTCTGACAAGAATTTTATAAGAAAGAAGCACAACAAGAACAAGCCAATTTCTCCCATGAGCACAGATATAAAAATCATACACAAAATATAAGCAAATCGAATCTAGTAGTATATGAAAAGGATAAAATACCACAACCAAGATTTGTTTCAACTAGAAATGCATGGGTGATTTAATACTTAAAATCTTTTAATAAAATTCAACAAACTTAAAGAAAAAGAAAACAGAAAGCTCATATGGTCATCTCAAAAGATCCAGGAAAAAAATAATCATTTGATAAAACTCAACATTCATTCATAGTAGAAAAACTTTGTAACAAACTAGGAATGCAGAGGAACTTCCATAATCTGATAGCCACAATAACAAACCAAAACAGAAAAAGCCTACAGCAAGCATCATAATTTATAAAGGAAGGAGCTGTCTTTAGTCAACTGGCACATACTAGGTACTTAAGAAAGAGCTGTTGAATGAATAAATCAGATTTAATTTATTTTATTCTAAAATAGAAACACTAAAACATGCTTGTTACAAAATAAAATTATCTTAGTAAGACAGTAACTGCTATTAGAAAATAT